CTGGCGTGAGTGTCTCTGACCAAGCAATCAGAAAGAGACTTCATAAGGGTGGCCTGAGGAGTCGGCATCCTCTAGTGAGCCAAGTGCTCACTGCCTGGCACCGTGGAGCCCGGGTGGCATTTGCCAGAATTGGCAGGCCCACCATGGGCGCCCTGTGTTTTTCACAGATGATGGTACGTTCACCCCGAGTGACAGACAGGAAAGGGTCTGGAGAAGCTGTGGAGAACGTTATGTTGCCTGTAACATCATTCACTGATCTACCACCAACATTGGTGAATCAGTGATGGTCTGAAGAGGCATATCCATAGAGGGACACCAGACCTCTAGGGGCTAGTCAGCATTTAGACAACCTTTTGCACTCACATTTACACTCATGTGTAATTTAGAATCACCAATTTACCTTAGCCCTCTAACTGCATGTCTTTGGGAGGAAGCTAGGGTACCCAGAAAGAACCCACGCAAGCACAGGAAGAACACACAGAAAGGCCCCAGCCTGACGGGGGAGTCAAACTCAGGACTGTGCTGCCGAGCTGTTAGTCCAGAACAAAAAAAGTAGCAAACCTATGATTACCAGGCTTGATACAGAATTTTCTTTGTATTTTTGCCCTTGATGGGTTAAACCACAACAAATAGCAATAGCATACATGTGGTGTGTGTATGCTTTTATGACCCCAGTGATTTTCCTGTCAGTTGAAGTCTTGTGTGATCTTGTTTTGTGAGTCGAAGCAACTAACCACTCATGCTAGATTGTATCACGTCATCTCAACAACAATAAATTAACTTGTTGAATTTCATGCATTGATATTCAGAATGACTGTTTTTCTAGGTGAAATCTGATGGGTTTTCTAGTGTTGCTTTATGTTTTTAAGCAGTGTATATTATTCTCACTTCTTATAAAAGGTGTAGTTTAAAAAAAAGAACTATTTTTGCTTTTAAAATATACAAAAAGAAGATCGGTGAGGTTCAGCAGTGAATCCAAAGCCAAAAACAGGCTGTAGTATCCATCTGCAAATATTTAGGGGAAACAGTGTTTCACACTGAGGTGATGCATCCAAGGTGTTTGGATTGTACTAGACAAGGTCAGGACAATAGCAGTAAAGACGTCGGTATTCTTCGACAGCGGTGCAGAGTTTTTGCAAATTCTGACTAACCCTTCAATCATCTACACTGCCTGGCAACCACCGTCTCCCATTGCTCCGCTCCACCTTCATCTCCGTTTCCCACCTCCCTTTACTCTTGCTTCGTGTCAGTTGCCATCAGCCTACCCCTCTGTGATGCGCTGAGAGGAATTCTACAGCTGCTGTCAGCTTATTGTGCACGCAAACACACAAAGACCCAAACACATAAGTACATCCATACATGCGTGAACAGACTCACACTAACGTACAAAGACACATATGCACATAAATCACACGAGAGCATGCACACAAAATCACATATGCTTACCACAAGCGTAGTCTGCTCTCACCAGACACGCACGCAGACCTTGATGACAGCTAATTATAGGCAGCTGCTATCTGCTTTAGCTGTTGAAATGATCGATCCTTAGGAGAAGAGTAGGTGTTTAGTTATTTTGGGGTGTTTTTGGTTTACTTTTGATGATGTGCTAATCCTACCTGGCATGATTGTCTGCCAGTGATATTTTTTCCAAGTAGGAAGTAGACAAACAAATGAGAGGAACTGACGGCTGATGCTCAGTGGTATCAGACATCTTCTGGAAATTCTATTCATTCTGTGTTGCTGAAGCAGTAAAGATGCTCTTTGGGATTGTTAAAAATTAATTTTCGTACATATTTTAAGCAGTTAATGTCTTCTTTTTGGGCTCTTTCGGTGTCCCTTGTTCACATATAACCTTCAAAGAAGTCTAAAACAAGCTGTACATCTGGAATGCGGCTGTTGTTTAATCAGCATCTTTCTGCAATTTGACTTTCTTCTGTATTCAGCCTCACCAAGTTCAGAAAACTTTGGAGAAAGTTTGTCCATCTTGCAATTCAAATATTTTTCCTCTTTGTATCTAGATGCACTTACACAGGTAAACAAGTGTGACTAGACCTCAGATACTAAAATTACGTGTCACAACATAAGCACGACATAAAAAAAAGGTTGCCTTTGGTCTCACTGAACAACTTTGATCACAATTTAGATCATCTGTCGAAGGCCAAGGTATTTCAAATGGCCGGGTTTTTGCTACAGGCAAACTTTAGATTTCCTCTAATTTTCTCTTTTGGACAGCAAAGACTTTTTCCTGGCAAACATCCCACACGGGTCAAATTTTTAAAATCTTTTTCTAACTGTACATGCATGCACTTTGATGCTAACACTTGTAAGATTCTTAAAAATCCTGTAATGAAATTTGGGGTGGGGGAGTCTGGAGACTTCTTGTGGGTTCTAAGCCACCTACTGCTAGACTGAAGCTTTAATCACTGGCATTTAATCTGGATTAAATCGTGGATTTGAAGGCATTTTATATATGTGAAAGTATTCTTATATTTAACCTGTGATTAACCTGTTTTTCTTTACTTCAATAATGAGCAAAATGTTAATTTCCAACAATAACCATGATTGATGTTCTTGTTTTTCACTGCACTGTATATTTTAGACTATGTGCTGGAGTGAGTTCCCTTTATGTGTCAGTTCTCTGCCTTTGTACATCCACAGATGTTATTGAAGACAGACAGTAGGGCTTTAAGCCAAGCTGATTGAGACAGGAAGACAGAAGAACAAGCACTCAGACGTGCAGGCAGACTGAGAGGCCTACAGGAGCTCACAGGTTCGGGGGTCAAAACACTCACAGCACTTGGTGTATGTACAGGAGCTTTCTTTTTTCAGTTCCTTCAAACAATACAAACAACAAACAATTATTTCTCAGTCTGCCAGTTTGATCTGCCCACCCGCGCATCCCACAGTGAAGCATCCTGCCGTACATCCCAACAAAAGGCTGTCAGACGCCTTCGGGGGCCAAAGGTGTGGCAACTTTCCAGTCAGCTGTGAAGATCTGCACTTGCTGAACAAATATGAATCATTTGCTCACACAGATGTATAAGAGCAGCACATTTTCCATACATTCACATGATGCCAGACACACAGATGCAGAGTGAGTATTGGATTGCTGTGAGTGCACACATGTGTCTGAGCAAGGGGTCTGTGTAATAATGTAGAAGGGGGAGGAGGAGGACGAGGAGGGGTGCTTGCAGTGTCAGCTGCTGTTGTAAAGCACAGATTTCCTGAACCTCCAAACATATGGTAAGAATTGTATTCATGACGGCATTTTATCACTGATTAAACCCAGGATTGGCAAACAGAGGCAGAAATCTGGAAGTGGGTACTGTATATGTATCGGTTTTATAGGCTTAGAACATATTACTCTCAGAATGAAAATGTTCTTGCATTTGCTTATCCTGCTTCCTATCTGTAGGGGACTATGGTTCAGGAGAAAGTTAGTTGTTGGTCACTGATTTCTAATTCACTGATTAACGTTCTGAACAAATTAATCTGTCATACATGACAGCTATCACTAATGCAACATGACACAGGCCATCTGGAAGATTCATCAAACACTTTGCATTCCAGAGGGAAACAAATCCACAAGACCTGGTGTCATAGAGAGCTGAGTTCACTATTGGGTTAGCTTCTGTTCTTCTCTTCCTACCAATTTACTAAAGTAAACTTTCTATCTAGTGTGCTCTGCACCTGAACATCAAATCTATATGAGCTTTTAGATGCCAGTGTTTCTGTTACGAAGACCCATGCTATATGTAGTTAAATGCTTTTAAATATAAAGTCATCAAAATATGCCACCGTCTGATCTTTCTGCTTTGTAGAAATTAGAAACCATATGGAAAAATACATTTCATCCTCTGTGGACTCTATAAACCCTCTGGCTTGAAGATCACCTTTAATGACTTTCACTCTGATTCAGATGTTTTTTGACTCGGTGCCACAAAGATCACTCTGTAAACACCACACATTTATTTCCCCTGCCGTACAGCAGAGATCTCATCTGTTTTTTCTTTTAGGATGATAAAATACTTCAGAATATGAAACAAGTGCTCCCGATGCGTTGGCTCCCACACTCCTGAGCACTTCTATGAATGACTGCAGGGAGTTCAGAAATGTTGGCACGCTGCCTATCAGTGCAGCTGTGGAATATTGGAGAGATGGGAGAACGGCAAGCGGATTAAATGGGGTCAGTGGTTAAATTTCAGACTGTAAACCATCACAAATTACTGATTACCTGCTCCGGGGTGTAATCTCTGAATCGCGTTTGGACCACTAGATCCACATGACTGGATTCATATATTCGAACCTGACCTGATGGGGGACATAAAGAAAACCTTTTTTTTTGTGTGTGTTTGTTAAATATCATAGCGACCATGTAAGCTGAGAAGTAGAACATCTCTCGAAGCAGGTGCCAAATGTGATTGGCTACAGGCTGTAGCCTGCTTAGGGTAAGCCCCCCTACACCAGAAAACACTCACACAGAGTATTGTGCGCAGAGCTCCCTCGTCGGGCTCCCAAGAGAAACATATTCGGACTCTGTGCGATTTTTACAGGAGTCTGCCATCGCCAAGATGAGATGCGGCCTATTTAAGACAATCACATGATTTCGTTGGGAGTCAAAAGGATCCGTGGTGGTCACTGGGTAGAGAGAGAGGGGGAGAGAGCGGCCGAGTGAGCGTAGCTATGAGGGAGGGAGGGAGGGAGAGAGAGAGGGGGGGGAGGTTGTAGGGCTGTCTGAGTGGAAAGAAAGAAAATGACTTGCCGGGAGAGAGGACTGGAGTTCAAGCAGTTTACCGCGATTGGAACTCCGCATGGAAATAAATGGAGACCAAAGTGGTTAAACTGAAGCCTGCATGCGAATCTCTTTGATGCTTCATTCATCTAAAGCAGAAGTGCTGCCTCTGCTGCTGCTGTTGAATTGTTTTATTTAAGATATCGATACTGCTGGGAGGTGTGTTAAAAGTGATCCACGGACATGAATTTCTTGCGTTTGTCTTGCGCAGCGTGCAGAAACTGGAGACCGTCGTTTTTCCACCTGCTGTGGTTTCTCACCCTGGGCAACGTAAGTCTGCGTGCATGCTGCTCATAAAGTTTTCAGTATATCAAATAAGCAAGTGCTTTCTGCATAATTACTCAAACAAGTTCATTTGCATTTCTTCTTCTCGCGCAGAGCGTTCTTATGAATGCTGGTGCTGACAGTGCCGAATGTGATCAAGGCGCATCTATTCTGCTACGGTCTCTCAATTTACCTCAAAACACAGGTAGGCTTTAAACAAGAAAAACAGAGGGGGGAAGTGTTGATGTGTTTTTGCCACTGTAATGATGTTTTTGTGGGTTGCTGGTCTGTTTTATGCTTTTCAGCTGAATTAAGACAATAAATACTTCTCGCTCGCTCACCCATAAAGCGGTCAGCAGCATCAAACGGCGCTCACCTGCGTTGTGCGTTACCGCCATTCACCGCCGGGGGGCAACCTGTACCCTGACTCGGAGTCACTAGTTGGTGCATGCTGCAGAGGATCTCAAACTGTGGTCTACAGCAAAATAAGGAATTCTTTCATTCTGTAAAAGTCGTTTCACTTAGTTCACGTTACATGAAAGGAATTATTTATTAACGTGTCAAGTCAACACACGTGTCAAGAACAAGAAGGGGGGGGGGTGACAAAAAAACACACACACACAATAAAAATGGCTCCCAGAGCAATCTAGCTGGGACAGTGACCAAACTCTTCCTTGAGGATGCAGTGATGCCTGCTTTGTCAATTATTAGTGCCAGGAGTTAAGAGCGAGGCTTTCATCTGTTCTTGTTTTTGTGGATCTAACCCCATGTGGTGTGATGACTCAGCAACTTCTTTGCAGTTCTCTACCAGATCTTTTGTTGTTGTTGTTGTTACCATGAAAGTGCATAAATATGTCTGCATAAATGAACTCTCTGTGAGCACATGTGCGGATGATCTGAAACAGAAAGGAATGGGAAAGCCCTCGCTTGTGTTTTGAGTTAGTGTCATAGGCAGCGCTTCAACAATTACTTCTCCTTGTTAATGTGTCAATATTCATATGTTAGAACGAGTTCATATGCAGAATTCATATTTTCATTCCTTTATCATCTTTAAGCCAAGGTGCCCACTGGCTGAAGACTTCATCAGTGCTAATGGCACTCGGGAGCCACTAAACCAACAAACCAACAACTGCAGGATCTTGTCTCAGCCTTGTCTGTCTCTCTCTTTCTGTGTGCATGTGTGTGTGTCTGTGCGTGTGTGTGCATGTGTACTCTGTTCTCGCGGACTCTTTGTTTGTATACTGTCAGACATGGGTCACCGCAGCTGTTTTTTGTGTGAGGGTGGGACAAGCAGTTAACTGGAAGCAAGTGTGTGTCTATGCATTCGGGGGATGTGGACAGAGAGGCAAAGACAGAGAGGACCATTTTCTGGGTTTGCTTAAGAGCTTTGCTTTCCGCATAGAAAATGCTTGAGACTTGGGGCATGTGTTTGCTCTTTGCAGTCCTGTAACTCTGAGATAGATAAGACTGGTGACATGTCAAGGCTTTGCTTCCTGCCTTGGCTGCCCATGCTAAAACTTATGCAGTCGTAGCAAATCAACGTGCTTTAAATAAATCACCCGCTGCTGAGGACAGGGTGCTGTGTGTAGATACACTGAATGACCAAGATGCACCAAAAAGCAGGCATTGGCACAGGCAGGGATGACACACAGTCTGCCACCCTGCATGTTTTTCCCACTGCCAGAACCTGTCTGTCTCAGTGCTATATATACTCATTGTTAGGTCTTGCTAAAGCAGGTCAGCCTGTACGGTAACTGGGACATGCCCTTATTGACTGTCCAATGTTGTTGTTATTTCTGTGCACTTTAACCTGAAAAAAGTGACACCGTATCACTTTTGCATGGCTAAACACATTTACAGTGGCCATTCCAGTACTGTGCCAAAATCAGCCATGATACTCTTATGTCTGTTTGCTTCCAGATTACTCTTAAAGCATCAACTGTAAAATGTTTTAAGCTGTGTGACTTAAAACACGACAGCATCGAGTGTCCCTTTTAACTAAGTTCCCAGGACAGTAACAAAAGTTATGGTAAAAATGAATAAATAAATAAATAATTTAAAATGAGAGCAATCATGCACATTTAACGCAGAGCAGTGCATTGGTTAGTGCAGTCACTTCACAGAAAGCAAGTCCTCTGTTTGAATCCAGTGTGTGTGGAGTTTGCATGTTCTCCTCGTGTCTGCGTAGGTTCCCGTAAGTTCAACTTCCTGCCACAATCCAAAAGTATGCATGTGGTTAATCTTAATTGTCCTTTCTTAACTGGTTATATCTGTGAATATCCATGTGAATGGTTGTCTGTCTCTGTGTGTCAGCCCTGTGACAGAGTAGTGACCTGTCCAGGATGTACCCTGTATGGATGGATGGATGGATGGATAGATGGCTGGCCATCATGCACCTTTTCTATATATATTTCAAGTATATGCAAGAGTGAATATGTTCATTTCTTATAAAAGATGTCCCTTAGTCTGTTCTGCCATTCTTACTCCTCAGATGACCTTAAGCAATATTCTCTGTCACATGATTTTTCCTCAAAATGAAACTTGGACCAAGGCAGGGAGTCAGTATAAAATCAGCTACTTTTGATTTGACCTTTTGAGGAAAGCCCATTAATTCTTATGATCACAGCATGATTAGACTTTTAACTGGACTACAACACAAGGGCTGACAATGACATTCAACCATCTCCCTTTATGACTTGCTGTTATCCAGTTTGAGCTATATAAAAGAAATAAAGTACTTGGTCAAACATGATTCACTCTCTACTAAAAGGCCTGGAATTGTCTAGAAAGCTTCCTTTTCTCGTAATCCTCTTTTGACCCCGTCAGCAAAAGTAAATGAGGCAGGCAGAGGAGAGCTAACAAAGAAAAGCAAAAAGCTGTAGTTTTAGACCGTGTTGTAACCAAGGCAGCAGCTGACACAATGTGCAGCAATTCACAATTAATTATGTTGACACAACAAATTAGTATAGATTTACCATCAGGCTAAACATTTATTTTTTGTATCTGTAAAAATATATTCTTTTCTCATCACAGTTTAAAACCTCTCAGCAGGCTTTCAGTTGCATAGTTCCAAGTTAAGAAATGTCTTTATATTTAATATGTCCACATTAAAAGACTAGATATAGTTGCTTTTTGTGGCTGCCTTTTTTGTGGGTGTTGTGATTGCAATTTTCACTCAGTGTTTCATTTGTCTTTTCACATTTCCTGTCCCTTTCCTTGCCTCTTCTTCCTTCAACATCCTTTATCTCCAGAATATGAGATTGTATCTCCATATGAGGTCGACCACCAAGGCGCTTACGTCTCTCATGAAATTGCCCACCACCAGCGCAAAAGGCGGCGCAGATCCCTCGCTTCAGACGCAGACTCATCTGCCGCTGAAAGCATCAGCGAAACAGTCCACTTCCGACTCAGAGGCTTGGGGCAGGACTTCCACATGGAGCTGAGGGACGCCTCGGAAAGCCTGATTGCACCTGGCTTCACCATCCAGGTCCTGGGAAAGAATGGCACCAAGAGCCTGAGGGCCTACCATCAGGATGACCTCTGCTTTTACCAAGGGTCACTGAGGTCAAGGGTCAACTCCTCTGTGGCACTATCCACATGCATGGGGATGGTGAGTCAAAACAAAGATGGGCTGCAGGATGGGTTCTGAAGATAAGAAAGGAAAGTCAGTAAATAGTTCAGATAAAGGGTGTGTGTGCATCTGTATCAGTCAAAAAGACTTCACGGTAAATTCATCATAAAAGTGCATCTCAGGGACATTTTTATATTGCTTAAGTTTTGGCAGCATGTAGGTTTAGCAGTGAGTTCTCTAATTGCACTCAATGGCCGAGAAAAAAAAAGCGAGCTTGGGAGCCAAAGAAATTTGGCTCATCCTGGGACCGCTGATACTATAAACACTGAGTGTCAGAGTTCTTGTCATGGCAAAACCGGGGAGGCAGAAAGAGAGAGGTTATTGACCTTTTTTGGATTTCAACACAAAGTTTGGAATATAGTAACTTAACACCCCGAGACAAAAGACAGACAGTAAATTCAATTCAATTGCAATTCTTTCATTGTGAGACGCCATACTTTTTGATGAAACATTATGACTCTCGACAGTATGCTTCTATGGCTGTCTTTCACACAGTTCTTGAGTCAGTCCATTGTCTGTCTGATGTGCAGAGAAAATTGACTTAAATTGACTTAAAAACCCACCGAATAAGTTGGCAAAACATACACAGGAGGTTCTCGTTCCAGCGTGTCATGCATTATTAGTTGTAAGTCAGCTAATGAATAACTAATGGATGGAAAAGCTAAGCTTCATGTTCACATCATGTTTGCTACAAGCCAGGAAAATTCTAAAAATACACATGAGCCAAATATGCCATAACAATGTTTTGATGGTATTTTATCTTTACGTTTAGCACATAGCGTTTACTACACGGATATAAAAATATTTTGAATATTCCTCCAACAACGAGAAGCACCTTTGCATCATCTTGAAGGCCGCAACATTTGCAGCTGTCACTGCTTAAAGAGGATTGAAATGGGTGCAAATCCAATCCAGGTGAAATTAAACTCTGAGCACTCTAAAAGCTACACAGACAGTAAGCGGATATCCACATGCGAACCTGAGCAGACTTATTGGTGTTTAAATGATCAGCTGTATTTGTGTGTTTGGTCAGAGTGAAGCTCGGTATCTGCTCTAGCAGTGTTTGGAAGCAATTTTATTTTTCTTTCTACTCGTTAATGTATAATAAGTCCGTCTTTTTTAGGCATAAAAGTCATTATTATGCAGTTTGGGCTAAAAATGCTGACTGAATCAATCTGAATTAAATCCTCTGGACTAGTTTACATTCTGTTTAGATTTACTGGCTAAATTCCAGTTCTCGCCTTGGTGGTCCTCCTGTGCTGCATGAACATAAAGAAGAAATTACTGTAATAAGCTCAAGTGAGGTAGTGCCACGCTAAGACCCCAAGTGTTATATTAACCCTCTTAGCAGTCTGGACTAGAGAACAAAGGACTTAATTAATACAAAAACTTACCTACACACTTATTCGTTTTGAAGTCAGCATGTTCTTTACGCTGGCTGCCAGTAGAGTTTAAAATGACCGTACGTACACACACAGAGCACTAAATCACCAGGCTCGAGATTATTTCTTACAAAATACACTGCTGCTTGCAGTCTTCGTTCACAGGCTCAGCATGTGTTAGTTGTTTCACACATTTGACTGTAGACTAGTGGAGACAGAGCCTTTCAGCCTGTGGCACTTGTGGCACAAGGCATTGGAACGGTCTACCACTACAGCTATGTTTAGTTGACTCAAACCTTTTTTGTTCAACCAGACTTTCTGTTGAGAATTTTATTGATTTGTTTGGTCTTATTGTTTCTTTTTATTTGCTAGTATGCCACTTAATTTCATTATACATTCTACTCTTTTTCTGTTGTACAGCTGAAGCTTGGTAAAAAGAAGAGAAGTTCTCAAGTATTCCTCATTTTGTTCTTCAACATCAGTGGAATGCTTCATTTGTCAGTTGACATCCGTTAGTGAATGCATTCAGGCCAGTGGGATATAAGCTTTCATCTGAAAAAAGAAATATTGTTTGAACTTGTTTCTTTTCACAGTTTTACCAAAAGCAAATTCCCCTAAAAACCAGTTTGACCACATTTCACTTAAGCATGGCTTTTAGTGTTTTTAATTAGGCTAAAATAAATTCCATGTTGGTTTGCTGTTTATATTTCATTGTAAGGGACACTGCTGTGTCTGAGAATTGCCCTCTAAAACTACAGGCAGAGAATGGCACATCTCCAGGGATGCTTCTCTTCTTCTGTGTGTGTGTGTGTGTGTGTGTGTGTGTGTGTGTGTGTGTGTGTGTGTGTGTGTGTGTGTGTGTGTGTCTACATTTCAGAGCAGATCCCAATAAAAGATCCAGCCAAAAGGTCCAGGGTTGCAGAGACTGTAAATGTTGTTCTCACGGCTGAGGCGGGCTAGGACAGACTGGGTCAGGGCATCATTGGGAATTTGGCTTTTTCTGATGTGAAGTTGGGAAGTGCAAAGCAATATCAGCAGGCAAAGGTATTTAGATTCTAGGGAAAAGATCAAGCTGGTTACTGATTTTCAAAAAAAGGGAAGAATGCATTTTATTAAGCGCTAAACTGCATATAAGAATTTTTCTGCATACGTTTGAATATTTAACTTCACCACTGTCACACAGTCAGTGTTGATACATAAGATGAGTTTTTGCACTAAAGACCTACATACCTATAGGGTTAAATTGGCTGTGCATAGTGCCAGTCTTCTAGGGACTTAAGCCATTTACATTGTTACGTTGTGGTGTCACCGTACATGATACCTCAACGGATTTTAATATGAAGATGTTTAGATTGATTTAACGTTAATATAAGCTTTGGTTAAGGTTCAAAGTTCTTGGACAAGTGTTCAAGTCCAGCCAGTTAATCTAAGTGTGTGTGCGTGCTACAGATGTTGCATACAACTGGTCAAAACGTCATAACAGAGTTCACTGGACTACTTGAAAGCATATGGGAGACCTTGCACTTTGGCCAGTTTGCTTTAGCAAGGAACAGGTAAATATTGACCGGAGCAGCAATGCACCTGGACTCCAAATGCACAGTGATACAACTTAGATTAGACTCTTTCATCACATTTGTTTGCGCTGTCATTCTTTAAAAAAAAAGAAAATTAACACCATCCATCTGTGTTTAGAGTAAGCTGCAGGGTTAGGGTTTCTCACGCTGGCTAATCGACGCCAACAGAAGGATAATGAAAGATCAGAGTGAAAAGGAGTGACATTGACGAAGAATATAAGGGTCGTTGCTCCCTCCCTGGAAGTTTGAAGTGCTAAAATTCTTCTTGCAGGCAGTGTAACATTGTTAAAGCCTATTTATAATTTGCCTTTTCAACTCTCATCTTCTGGCAGCCCATGCAGTTGATGACAGGAGGGTGATCAGCCGTAAAAATCTCTGACTTACAAGCAATGAATTGATGGAATAAAAGTTTCAGGCCAATCCCACTGATCACCTGCCAAAGGGTTTCATAGACCAGCACACACACATGGAACAGCCCATCATAAAACAGTTCCTTCTCTGTGTCGACTTTATGCTGCAGCATGATATGCTTTTATGGGTATGAGGCTATTGAGGAGTGATATGCAGAAATTGTTCCAATCTGGTAACTTTCTTTTCATCCCTATGCCTACATATGGCATCTTGTGCAATTTTTGGTCCAAACAAAGGGGGAAAAAGATGTTATTCCTGAGATCTTGAAACAGAAGACAACTGGAGTTCTTTAGGTTTGTGATGACATTTTACCTCTCATCCAAGGTTTCACAGGGATTTCATCCTTAACCCACAGGTGATGGTAATGACCCATGCCTTATTTCACACCTTGAGATAACTCACATGATCAATAGTAGGTCAGTGACCTCAAGACCACTTCCAAAGGGGACAACCCCTTACTAGGGGTAAATAGCCATTTTAGACCCGTAAAAGCATCCTGGATAAGAGGTGAAACATCTTCATACACCTAAAGAACTCCAGTTGCCTTCTTTTTCAAGCTTTGTTGAAAAACCTACTCAGACACAAGATGTTTAGCATGCCGAACTAATATGTTGAACATCGTTATTGTCATCCAGCCTACCTAACAGCAGCTAGTTGACATTGTGAACTCACCAGCATGGTGGCAAAACGTAAAAGAATGTTGTAAGCCTCACAGAGCTGCAAGCATGATTTTTATCTGTAAATATGTTAACTTTGAGACTTGGCTGTCTGCAAACCCCATGCTGGAACCTGCTAGCTTAAATTATTGAGTTATTATGACTCATTTTCTCAAATATTTTTCTGTATACAGCATAGCAGCAGCACTGTACTACCAAAGTAACAATTTGGTCTTATTGTACCTTTTTGTATGCTATTTAATCTCCTGCTAATTTGCATCCATGAACATTACACAAAGGTATGCATAATAACCTTTTTTCAACTAGTAACTACTAATAAGCAACTGCTTACTCTCTATACAGTATGTCCTTTTTTCACATCTGTACTGTAGCCCTGTGCTTCACCTACATCTGTATCAGTTCGGCTAATTTTACTCAGACTTGTAAAGCACACCTTCCTTTTGTATCAAAGGGAAATTCTTAATGTCCTGCCACTACAAATCACTTGGAAGGTATGTGTTTTCCACTTGTAAAAGGATGGGTGTGTTTCTTGCCTCGGGGCACGCAATCATGGTAATAATAGAATGCTGCACATTTCTTCCACCTCTGGGATTTCCAAGCGAATATGAGGGATGGGTCTACTGATGTTAGTGAAGCTTTGAAAAGCACATAGTGTGGTCTTGGCAGGTTGCTATCACCATTTCTCAGTAGATACTGTGCACCCAATGATGTGAGAACAGTTTTATCAAGGCTTCATCATTCATGGGTTCCTCCACCATACCACGGAGATTAAGTAATGAGGACCTCCAGTTTGTGTAATCCGTGCTGGATATTTTGGATACAGTGGGAATCTCTAATTCGTAAATGCGCATTAAACTAAAATATGACCCGAGAGAGCAATTCACAGTTGTTCAGTTAACTCTGTCAACGCAAAGCTCACAATCTGAATCCTTGCC